CTCTCTTTCACACACACAGTGGGGTGCTTAGATCTTGTCCCGGACGGGTCAGTGCTTCGCTTGGGATACAACTGAAGGGGAATAACTTAACTCCCTCCAGCCGCGCCGTCGAATTTAACATTTCAGCGGGAGAGGGTCACCCCCACAGTCCTGCTGTAACTACACTTCCCTCGTGGAACTAATCACCAAAGTTTGATTGATCGATTAGTGATTACGGGCACGTCAACGGCTAAGGTCACTTAAGTGTTCACGAATACTTTTTATCGCAGGAGGTGAACATCTTCCCCCGATGTCGCCAGCCGGTGTGACCAAAGTAGTTGACGTGCCCGTAAACACTAAATACTTATTCACTTACAAGCCTTGTGCACCACCATGCTGTGTTGTCTTCGTGCAGCTGAAGGGGCTGACGGGCAAGGAGCTAAAGGACGAAATCGACCTGTTCCTGAAGCTGATCCAGATGGAGGACAAGAGGAACAAGCAGGCGCGCACCCTCTCTGGTGGCATGAAGCGGAAGCTGGCCGTTTGCATGGCTCTCTGCGGCAACTCTAAGGTACCTCTATTGCTCTGTGCTTATTGTGCACATTGCGATCGTAAACTAAACTCATGCACAACGGTGTTGTAGCATTGTAAACTGAATCGTTTCACGACAGCCATGTAGGAATCAATAATGCGAGACCAAACTGTTATGTCAAAAAAAAACACGTAATTTCTTAAAAAATAGATTTCTTCTGATCTTACACTAGTACAGAGTAACCACATACAAGCAAGATCTAACAATTTTTCTGAAGATGTACCAGTGTATGCCAAAGTCGCCGTTGTCCAGGGAGATGTCGAAAGTTAGTAGCCGTAGCTTCGAAGTATCTGTCAGAGAGAGAGAGAGAGAGAGAGAGAGAGAGAGAGAGAGAGAGAGAGAGTCCGTACACTTTGCTGTTCCATCAACACTGTTCACAATTCACTGATGCACTCGATACTGCTGGTAGGCGCTCAACTGCCCTCTGCCCACCGGGGTGCTGCATTATAGCCCGCTGGGGCTGAGGATCTGCTGGCCAGCACCCGGATAGGGGTGGTGCCTCCTTTTTCGGTGCCTGGTCGTGCGTGACGGTGCCGCGGCGGCTGCTGTCGTCGCCCTCTTTTGAGCGGCAACGGTACTAGGTTCCGGCGGTTCTTTCAATGGCGCGCAGTCGACTGCTGCACGAACCAAACTGTTTGCGTATTTAATATTCATTTGCAGTCTGTTTACATTAAAGAAAGGTTATATTAGAGAAAAAGTAGAAAGCTGAAGTCGTATGTGGTGTGCAGGCGAGATATGCAAGTATTAACAAAAATGGGGTTTGGAGGTCAAGGGTACTAGTCTCTAAAGACTATCACAAAATGTTTCTAAATTTTTCAAAGGAAATATCCATTTAGGATGAGTTTCATTGTTCATTATTATAAAAATAATATTTTCGTTCTACTATTAAGAAACCGAAAAATTAAGAAAATGTCCAAAAATGTACTTTGGGAAATGATAGATGGCAGCTGGCAAGAGTATGTGGAAAGTCCGAATAGCTAGCCCAGACCAAAGGAAATAGAAAACTAATGCGGAAACGTCTGTGCCATTCTTTTGCACCACTAGTTCAATTTCTTGCCGGGAATATCAACAATGCTAATTTGCAAAATCTTGTATCGCATACGGTTTAGCGGTTATTGTTGCATGTTACAAGACATTGTTGCAACGCCTGATAACAAAAGGCGTAAAAACGACAGCAGTTCGCTAATAAAAAAACAATAATATTTTATGGCGTATCGCGCATTGTTGGTACATTTATGTAGAACGTGGATACAGTTATCGTTTAAACGTTTGAATTAAAATATATGTATTTCACACGCTTTGTTTGTTTAAGAAATTTTCAAATGTTAATTGAAATATATAAGATAAATTGCCAAATTATAATATTGCATAGCATAAGAGTAACATATTGTAATTTTTTGTTCTTATTGAACGATTACGATTAAACTAAACACGTTCACTGTCCTGTGGCCGTTTGTGGTTCATAAAAGGTAACTCGCTGGGTTTAATACGTCTGTGAAACACATGTGGGTCACAGACGTTTACAACTTCTATGGCAAATATTTTTACAGAACTCGCCGAAACTGCTCTCTTTGTGGTTTGGAATTGCTAGGACGGTCTTAGAATTTAGAAACACACCGGTAAGTGCAGAAAAAAATATTTTTAATTTTGAAAATATTACAATGAAATTATTATTATAAAAATATATTTAAATATTTTCATAGAAACAGCGAACGTCTAAACATTTTCTTTTGATTCAAAATGCCCCCCGTTTCCCTCTTCTTAGTGTTCTTGCTGAAGGTTACACTTTTACTTATCACTTAAATAGTTTTGCTGTTCTTATCCAGATGCTTCCCACTTAACTTTTCTTTTAATTCGCCGCTAACGTACAATTTCACTTATTACTTAGAATTTTACAACTTTTATTACTTGCTGTTTTTTTCCATAAACTTTCTAATTCACGCTTTTTTCGTCTCTCCAACAAGTCTTTCGACTTTTCTTGTACCTCTTCTTTGGTCCCCTACTGTTGTTCTATAACTCCACCTTTCGTCGTTGAGTCGTGCTACATGTCCAGCCCATCTCCATTTCAGCTGGTTTGCTCTTAAAAGATCAGAATAATTAAATTAATTACATGTTAAATAAAAAAAACATTAGCATTTCTGTTTAATAAATGTATAGAATTTTCTGTTTTTCTTGATCACTTCAATAAAGCGGATTTTAACATCAATATTTAAGTGTAGAAATAGAAAAACAATTCATTTCTCTCATCAAAGTTAACGATAATTTTTGAAAATGTTTTGAAAAATAATTTTTCACCTTAAACAAAAATAAGGTAATAAATTATATGCAGTTTGGTTTTTAAGAAAATAAAAGTACTGAAGCTGCTATCCCAAGATTAACAAACCAAATTTATAATGCAAATGATAATAGTACACTTTACATATCAATTCAGTTGGACTTGGCTAAAGCTTTCGATACAATTATCCGTCAAATGCTACACAAATTATAAAAAAGTGGATTTCAGTGGAAATGATTATAAACTAATGGAAAGCAAATTTAACATGTAGAAAACAATCTGTGATATTAAATGTTTACAGTGAAAAATAGGTTGTTAATTGTGGTGTTCCACAAGATATTATACTAGGGCATGTATTACGGTAGGTATAGTATACGTAAATGTTATATTTGATTTAATGCCTCTTGACGAAATTGTATCGTTTGGAGTTTATATTGCATTAATCGTTAAAGACTACGTGGGAAAGTTCTTGATTTAACTGAAAGAAAAATTGTTGTAATTGCTAAATAGTTAAATCAAAATGATATTACATTAAGTATTTAAAAAATATATATTTAACTTAAGGAATTAGCGACGGTAGCATCCCACGTTTTAGTGTCATTAAAATCCACAACAGCACCTGCACTAACGAAAATTGTAACTGTTAAATAATAATTAAGAAAGCATTCTGAACATCTGGGTGATTATTAGGAAATAATTGTGATATCAGTTGACCAACATTTAATATGGGATATGTATATAACTAACTAATACTGTTAAGGAACTAACGTGCTTAATTTATGAATTTTATAAAATGAGAGCATTATTGAGCTCGAACTATTTTATGACTGTGTATTATGCATTATTTTGGTCGGCAGTGACTTACGGAATGATTATTAATGGAGAAAAAGTTTGCATTCTTCAGGCGTATTACAAAGTAATATATAAAAATAATATACTTGAACAAAAACCTCATAATTATCTTATCGAAACTGTACAAAGAATATAATATTATTAGGATTCTTGGAAAATTCCGTAATTGAAAATAAAATTAATTTTTTTAAATCAATATAAAACAGAGAATAATGAAAAAGAAATGTTTATTTAGTATCTTCAAAAATGAACAAAGAAATCGCTAGAAAAACATTCATTGTCATAAACCTTGTGTATTTTCTATAAATATTTAATTTAGTCTGCCCCACGTTGAGCGAGCCATTTGTAATGGTTCCTAGACGTCTATGAATTTAATGTATTATTTTATGTGATTAATTTTATCTATTCCTAAATCTGTAATCATTTAATGTGATCGGCTAGCATGCTCGTATTATTAATGTCACTGCCAATACTTTTATGTCAATTCTTTCCTTAAAAGAATTACGTTTTTATTGCTTGAATTGCCTTGCTCTGCTCACATATATTTCCTAATCAAACAGTGTCCTCTTAAGACGATATGCTCTTATGCGATATGACGATAATGCTGACAACTCTCAATAAATTTACCATCCAAATGTTTGGACCTATGATTATTAACATACGAGTGATTGTTACTTTCTTTGTCGTGTGCACATGCGCCGTGCATTTGGATCAACTATCTCTGGAAATTTTGTTTAGGTAAAGAATTCTTTGATTGATTGCAACCTAATATAATTTTATTAGACTTTTTTCAAATAAACAAATAAAGTAATTATTCACAGCTAAATCGGTAAGACATTTAATGAGCTCATTTCTCAAAGTTAATACCGACATAGTCATTACTTAATACACATCAAGTGAAATGTCTCATATTCTTACTTCGGATCTTCCCGCGTATTCGTGATCTCGGATGAATTCATGCCGAAAGAAATATATAAGTATTCTCTACCCAGTACGAGTCTTCAGATTCTTTCGGTTGCTTCGAACGGGTTCGAACAGGCATAGCAGGCGCTGTGCGCTCCCCTTGTCATGGTTAAACGCATCAACTTATATTCTGGCCTTCTCCATTGTTCCATGCACAGCTTTTTGGAAATACAGATTAACCGTTGCGGCCTCAGCCCTATATATTTATCTACCTATAACATTCTCTATCAGTAGGGGGGATCACAGGACAGACATGAATAAAATTGCAGACGCGCAGAGAACAGATGAGGGAACATTTCTTTTACAAACTACGAACGATAAAAGAATGCAATACATTACCTCTTCAAAAACATTTGAAAACCCTTTTCTCGTACAGCGAACTAACAGTTTTTAGGAATTTAATTTAGGGTATTACTAAATAAATGAGGGAATTAGCTGACAATAGTAGGTTATGGAGCGATGCGTCAGTAATACATTGAGAAGTGAGGTGTCGTGCAGTGTAGAACAGAGAAATAATGTATGACATGATTGAAGGGTCATAGTGAAGTGTAGTGTAGTGAAGTGCAGTTGAACAAAAATTTAGTGCGGAGTTTGATTCTTATGTGTTTTTAAGGTAATTTTAAATGTTTTATGAATTAGACAATTTTATATCATTATTATTATTATTATTATTATTATTATTATATAATTTGCATGTTAACTGTATTATCTTGTATGTTATGTAATTAGCTGCCACCGGGTTATGTCCATTTTCAGTTCAAATACATTTATCTTATTATCTTATAAGCTGCTCTGTTATGGCTCATGGACTGTGAGAGAGGTGACTTAAAACTTTCCAAACGAATGACGGGACCGACTCTTGAATTGCTCGAGCGACATTAGATAAGTATCGGCATGGGGCCAGACTGCCTTCGGGAACATTTTGCAGTGTTTGTTTTTGAAAGTGTGTATAAGAATACAACTATTATTGAATTTCCATACCGTATTTGTCATCTTTTGCTATGGTAAAAGTCCTCCCAGTAAAGTGAAACAATTTCGCGATGATACTTCTCGGCGCTAGCCGTTAGCGTTGAGGTAGCATTCGTAACACAACGGGCACTTTGCCCTTTACTTGGCAGGAAACGGAATGAGAGAACTCATCTTAAACAGTCACCACAACAACTGTTGTTACGTCCATTACCACTCGTTCGCTTGTTATCTTTGTCTTATTCAGCAGTCAAACCAACTGCGAATAATACATTTGCCTGTAAGAACTACACGCTTTATAATCTTACTGTCGCCATAGCCCTTGTATGTAGCTGGTGTTGAAAACATCCGATCCTCCTGACTCAAACTCTCGAACTGGCTGAGGTGACTCAGCTCATTAGCTGATGTTTATGTAGTGCCTCTGAGCGGGATATTGATTGATAGGTAAGGATGCCAGGCGCGACGACTACTAAGGTCATTGGACCCTTTGGTATAGTGTCCTTTTTTACCTTGGGAGATGTCTGTGATCTTCCCCCGCTGGCTGGATGGCTGGCTTGCAGGGATTTTTACTACCAGGTATCTCTTAAAAGCATGGTACCGCCCCAGCCAAGACAAGATCGAAGCTCCCAACAATGGTGCTAGTGAAGTGCATATTAGTGTAAGTGTAAATAAGTGTTGAGGATAAAAGGAGCAATGGGAATGAAAGGTGAAGCACGGTCCGTGACGCGTTTGGTAAAGTCTACGGCATTCGCTTGTGCTTGCTCGGTATTTGTCTCCGGAATTCGCATGGTGTTGTTCGGGGAAAAGTCGGAAAACTACCTATTAGAGCAGCTAGCCGTTAGAATTTTCCTCCAGACTGGCCCGGAGGTTCTAGGGTTGGCGTCCTGCGGGAGACTTGATTTACGCCACTTAGTAGATAGTTAGGTCGAATTTGGCTGCGGTTGCGCGGCACGGACCGTGTTTGATCTTTCCTTTCAACCCCTCGCTCCTTACTTTCACTTACATTTACATACACTACTCAACCACTCATGACGGGAGACCATCCGGAGCTTAGAGCTTGCTCTGGGTGGGTAGGTGCCTTGCTTGTTGGTAATGCCTGGATGGGGAAAGCCGCCATAGCCACCGCGTGGATCAGCGCCGGATCTCGCCATTCAGCAGGGAAAGAAACTCATCTCGCGTGATAAAAACATGTACTCAACTTACATGAGTAATGACAGTTGACGCGCCTAGGAATTACGGAGTAGTAAAAAAATTGAACTCTCGGGCCTTCCTGTGAGAGATGCAGCAATGGCAAACAGCGGTTGCCCTTGCACTTTGTGCATCATGGTGGATTCATGGATGGCGCGGCCTGCGCAGGTGGTGTTCTTGGACGAGCCGACGTCGGGCATGGACCCCGCGGCGCGGCGCGCGCTGTGGGACCTGCTGCGCGAGGAGAAGGCGGGCCGCACCCTGCTGCTCACCACGCACATGATGGACGAGGCGGACGTGCTGGGCGACCGCATCGCCATCATGGCCGGTGGCCGGCTGCAGTGCTACGGCTCGCCCTACTTCCTCAAGAAGCGCTTCAGCGGCGGCTACCACCTCGTGGTGGTGAAGGGACAGCGCTGCAACACCGGCAACGTCACCAAGGTGAATACCACGGCTGCGCAAATCACCCCCAGAACCCCCCTTTCTATTGATCGATGTAATTGGACCACATCACGTTACCGAAAACGTCCAAAAACCACACCGACTTATAAACGCACAGATGTCGCTTTTTATTCATAAAAACATTGACAAAATTATTTATCTACAACACGTACATCAAACGAAGTGACCTACTCCTGCAAGATCTGGGCAACGACATTCCAGAGCAACTATCCGAGACTAAGAAGATAAGGCTATAGAATAATTAGACTAATCTTTAAACCAGAGAAATGTTACTCGGAAATCAAGAGACAAAGACATGACACCACTAACGACGGAAGTTCACGCAGCAGCAAAAAGTTGAATATAAAAACCAATAGCCACCCCACCTTCATCTAGACATCTAGACGTCTAGACATCTAGACATCTAGACATCTAGACATCTAGACATCTAGACATCTAGACATCTAGACATCTATATATCATTCTCACGTGTACTAACGATTAGTGCGAGAATTCTCATGTGGTGCTACAGATTGGTTAGGATTTTCTCGTATTAGTTTTCTACTTTCTTTGGTGTGAGCGTTGTTATTCGGAATTGCCCTATACTCTTGCCATCTGGCAACTTAACGTAATACATTCATAGAATGGATATATTACGTTAAGGATATTAAACAAGAGTAAAACTTGGTCCTAAATGACAATTTGCATTTACAAATTGAGCAGTTTTAAAAGAAAATTGATTTTAAACGTTACAGTACGTGGTAAATTTAAGCTATTTTTTCCGAAGTTTTCAAAAAACTATATTTGAAGCACTTCAACTCACAAATGCGATTGTGTTTACAAATCTTTGGAAATTGCGTATATTAACGGCGTGAAAGATATGTAAACAATTACATTTTTGTAATTTTTGAAAGAACAAAAGAAAGCGTTATAGCGATCATGGCCTTTTATAAAGTACATTTAGCACTATCCATACCAAACATTTAAAGAACATTTAACAGAAAATTGTTTTTCTTATTTTTGAATATTGCTCACATTGGGCACAATATTGCGCTATAACTACCGATTTTTTTTAGAAAACATATATGACCTGAATGAAATAACAAATATGAAGAACAAATTTAATTCGAAGGGATAATCTCTATCTTTAATGTTGCAGTCATAGGAGGGTACCGAAAAGAATTTAAACTTTTGAAATTTTCAAAAATTAATAGTTAACCTTGAAAATGGGATCTATGCCACCTTTGTACGTGAATTTTACTCTATTCTTACAAGAAATTTCAAGATTTGAACCTGTTTTTGGAATAAAAATAAAAATGTTCCTGGGACTGCATGTAAAGAACCCCCAATTTTTTATGAATGTTTTCCAAAATTGCAGAGCTTCGACTCAGACCAGATGGACATGAGTTAGTTTAATTTGGAAATAATCCTACGCATGGTTTAGGCCGTTATTCACATACATCATACGGATAGACAGACAGATGGAGGTTTCAAACAAAATTCGGTATCAGGGGACCTCAAAACGCCTATTACCGTCGACATATCGAAATCGATTTGACTGCATCATTTAATAACTTCCTCTATACTACATATATTACTCCGTAAATACGTACGTATGAGAGGAATAATGAAGCAATTTCATGACACTTCCCAACGAGAGCGAATAAGTCAATTACTTGGGATCCAAGTTTCCAGGTATATCGGAGGCAAAAATGAATGAGGGAGTTTTTGTTAGGCCGGATATTAGAAAATACATAACAGTCAAAACCGACAAAGACTTCCACAGTTTATTGACTCCAGCTCAAAAAGAAGAGTAGATTGCCCGAAAATCCATTTTCTCAACTCACACTATTTTCCTTAAAATTTCAATGAAGTGAGACAAGGAAAATAAAGTATTTCTATCGAGATGTAAGAGAAATGAAAAGGTATCATGGATAATAGACTGTTACAATGATAAGTGACTGAATGTTGCTGAATGTTGTATATGGATCTTCCAAAAGCCACATACAAGAGGAAAAATTCAGAAAGAAGTTTGGACTAAAAAACATTTCACAAGAAATCTCTCTAAATCTGGTGTACGTAATGCGTTTATTTTTATGTAAAGAAATTATATGCGTTAAGATATATTTTAAACAGCGATAATCTGTTTGTTCCAAAACCTGACGTCCCAGGACAAAACGGTTGTCATTCCTCGATTCAGAGCACTACAAAACACAAGAATCAATCAACTAAAGGAAAACAGCTGACCGAACATTTTTTTGCAGACCTGTGTTATTAGCGTTTTGAACATTTTCAGTTAATTTATTACGTCAAATAATTTTTGGTATATTTTTGTTTCTCTAGGCGTTTCTACTACCTTTTAACGTTTCTTATAAATAAACTGTAAAACACTGACTTTGCTTGTCGGAGGTGAGAGCGGAGGCAATGGGGAGGGAGAGACGAAAGATGTGATAGAGGTGAGAGCATGTGTGTGTGCGCGCGCGCGTGTGTGTGTTGTATGTGTGTGTGTTTGTTGTGTGTGTGTGTGTTGTGTGTGTGTGTGTTGTGTGTTGTGTGTGTGTTGTGTGTTGTGTGTGTGTTGTGTGTGTGTGTTGTGTGTGTGTGTGTTGTGTGTGTGTGTGTGTT